TGTGCAGAGCCAGCGTTTCTCTAGCCAGTGGGTTTCATGACTATTGCACATGTTCACATATGCTGACCTGGTAATGTGGACCGTCCACACATAATGGCGGATTTCAGTTCAGAGTCGGACTCTGACTCTCCTGTCATGAAGAAGGCTAAATATGCAGGAGCGGCAAAATACAAAAGCAAGTTCAAAAAAGACTGGACAATGAAGTACCCTTTTGTTTCTTCTGTCACTTCAGACAAATCTTTATTCCACTGTAATGTTTGCAATCATACTTTGCCATGTGCCCATCAAGGAGAAGCAGATCTTAAGCACCATATTGCTAGCGATGGGCACACTGCACACGCCAAGGAACAGGCAAAACAACCGGCGATCACAAGCTTTCTGAGACAGCCAAACTCCAACATCCAAGAGAAAGTAAGGACCTAGTCTTTCCAATGAAATACATATTGTATTAATGCTATTTGTTCGACTCTGTGTTTGGCAAATTGCAAGACTTCAAATGTTCTTGCCCAATCCTGAGGTGCAGTTAGGTTATTTATACAAGATTTTGGGCTACAGTAAGCTTCACACATGTACTTTGACATCTGTTTTGAAGTTTAATTTTGTCAACAGATATTTACAACATAAGTAAAATATGAAATAATTTGGCCTTTGGTTTTATACTCTAAGCAAGGATCCTATTGTTATTTCAGGTTACCAGAGCTGAGGTAAAAATAGCAGTGCTGATGGCTGAGAATAATATTTTGCTGGCATTTTCTAACCACCAAAGTCGAATGCTCCCAAAACTATTTCCAGAAACAAAGATAGCACAAAAGTATTCCGCTGCAGCTTCAAAGACCACATGTATCATTAATGGAGCAAAAGCACCACATTTCTTAAGGGAGACGGTGAATATCATGAAGTGTAGTCTATTCTCCTTATTAACTGATGGCTCAAATGATACTGGCTTGGAAAAAATGAATCCTTTGACTGTAAAGATTTTTGATGTGAACCCTGGTAGAGTGGAGAGACGGTTTTTGGACATGTGTGCAACCAAGGGAACTGACTCAGCAACGGCAGCATCAATTTTCCAGAATCAGAATAAGAAATCTGGTCTATATTTTGTATCCCTTGAGAATTTTATGAAGGGCACAAGGTTGACCCATGCAAATCGATGATGCGTTATCATTTCATGGAGCAAACGTGTGGGATTCGGTGTGCACAATACTAATGTCAACCTTGGTAGCAGAAATTCAATTATGACAAGATGACTACTTCATGGGTTGCCCCTGTCACTTAATACACAATATCGCCTGCAAAGCTTCTGAGGCATTTTGTGATACCTCCAAATTTAGCCTGGAAGACATGTGTGTTGACAGTTACTATTATTCTGACAAGAGCACTAAGCAAAAATCACTTTTGGTAGAATTTGCTGATTTTCTAGATGTTGAATACCGTCAAGTCATCAAACATGTGAACACACATTCGTTAAGCCTGGAAACAGCTGTGAGGCGGAACTTGGATATGTATCCAGCATTGAAGAGCTATTTCCGGTCCAACACAGAGAGTAATCCTAGATTCAAGCGCCTGAAACAACAGTTTGCAGACCCCATGGTAGAAGTTTACCATTTATTTTTTCAGGCACTGTTGCCAACGTTCTTCTTTCCAAACAAGGTTCTGCAGAGGGAAGATCCCTGCATTTATGCTGCCCATGGACAGTTGAATGAATTTGTTCAATGCCTTCTGGGCAAGTTTGTTCTGATTGACAAGATTAAGGCTGCAAAAACCGTTGACAAAGTAACTTTTGAAGAAGAAAGTCAACAACTGAAAGACGGGCAGCTATTTATTGGCTTTGCAACCAGAAAACTACTTACCAAACTTGTCAATAAGGGTTACATAGGTGAAACAAAGAGAGATCAGTTTTACCAAGCAAGATGATGCACTAATCCATGCTAGATTTGTGGACTTTTTTCAGAGAGAGAATGCCTCCCTTGAGGATGTAGAATTCTTTCTGAAGAATTATCACACAGTTCTGCCAACTACTGCATGGGAAACCCACTTGCTTCAAGAAGAGTTTGTGGAGTATCAGCTTCTAAGTAATGAAGACATTCCCAAGAAAGTCTGGGATGAAGCCCAAATAAAACTTTCAAATGAGGAAAATGAAGAAAAATCATCATCCAGTTTTCGCATGGATGTGATCTGGGGATATCGGTCATCACTGAAACTAGGAAATGGTAGACATAATTTTAGTGGGATAAAAGATGTAGCCAAAACAGTTCTTATTCTACCACACTCCAATGCAGGTGAAGAACGAGTTTTTTCTCTTATTAGAAAAAACAAAACAGCTTTTCGGCCTTCTCTTCAGGTTGATGGTACACTAGCCTCTGTGCTTACCATCAAAACGGCCAACAAAGAGTCATCATTTGAACCACCTGCAGATCTCTTAAGCAGTGCCAAGAAAGCTACCTGGAACTATAACAAAGAGCATCTGACTCGGGGATCAGATCAAAGTGACAGCAAGTAGAACAATCAGTATGATATGTTAATTACATTTGACTTGGATAAGACAGAATGAGAAATGTTAAGAGAGTTGATATTGATCTGATTCAGTGATCACACTGACAGCATGTAGCGCAAACGTTATAACATGTTAATTTCACTTCTAGATACAGGTACGGTAAGTCAGAATGTTAAGAAAGAGTTGATATTGGTCCAATAAAAAGAAAATTCTGGGATCGAAACACTTACTTCTTAAGCACGACATTTCTGCTCAGAATGAGGGAAAACACGTCATAGCTACTTCCATTTTTCAAAATTTCCTGGGGGGAGCATACAGGCCCCCCTAGCAGAGTGACGCCTGCGGCGTCACAAACAACGGCTGCACCATTGCAGATCTCACTCTTTGCCAACAAATCAACTTGAGAGCTCTGCAGTGACTTCTTCTCAGACGACGATCTTTAAGATAAAAACAATCTTGTAGCATGACACGCCATTTCTTTTCGTCCTCAAATATTACATTATCTAAGTCAATCAATTACGTGTATCCATGTATCTTGAAATTACTGTGATAATGTAAAAAAGAGAATTTTGCCAATGCTGAAAGGTGTAATTTTTTATTTTTTAGGGTACTATTTTATCACACTTTTTTATCAATAAAAGAGGCCCCAGATTGCACCAGACGGCATCAAATGCGACTGTAAATTTCAAAATTTTCCGGCACCCATACCACCCCCCCATACCCTCCCCCGGCATTGACTGTGTCAATGCAGGAGGCATAAGCACCTTCTGTTGTCAGCCGCCTGAATGATTTCCTTAACCAGCAGACCATTTTCTTAGCTACAACCCTGGTCGCCACTTTTTGCAAAAACATCTTTGCAAGTAATTTCTCACTGCCATTGATGGCGAATGATTGGCTTGCGATGCAAAGATCAAACTGGATGCTGCCAAGGACCATCTAAAACGATGCTCAGAAGTAGAAAGGTGAGCCTCCTTTGCAGTAAAAAACTGCAAAGAAAACACCAAGATAGCCAAGACCTGCTCCTTTACTCTATTTTCCTCCTCCACAAAATCTTCTTGAAAAGGCTGCCCTCAAGTTAAGAATCAGCTGGTGGCGAGCAGTGTATTGACGTTTTGGTAAAAAAGGTCTAAACCATACAAGCTACTTTAGTTAGTTTTAGTTAGCAAGTCAACAATAAAAGAATCTGCATGGCAAACAAAACTGGTATTAGTCACTCAGGACCAAAATGCAGTTGCTTTTTAGACTTGTCAGATCCAGAGCCAATTCTACTGTTTCGCTCTCACAGACTCCACTCTACCACCAAAACGATTCATTAAGGGCACTCTGTGCTGCTTCTGTCAATCGTTTATTTTAAGAGAACATTTACTTATTTCTACTTATGTTTGTTGACCACGTAAACTTTTACCGCCCTTTTCCATACTTGATAATACTTACAAATCTAAAAAGTTAATACTAAGTCTTATAATTGTAATCTTTTGTACATACTTTGTAAAGCCACTAAGAACTATAAGGATTTTGGCACTATAGAAATTGAAATTATATTGCAATAATATTGTAATATTATTGTAACCCTTGAACAATGAAACTTTGGATACAAAAGCAAGCAGTCTTCTCAAGGCCCCAGAAGCACTTGTGAAGCAACCATCCATGGACATTATGGTCTCAGGGACCTTCAAAACTCTAAACAGAAGGTACAGACAGTTTTTCATTACCTTGAAGGGCTCAATCAGAGATATTACCTGCAACAAACTCTGTGGTCTTTCTTTAGTCACAGCAAACACTCCTGAGATAAACCAGCAGCAGAAAGTTTCACTCCACCATCACCAATCCAGACAAGGGCATAATGAAAAGTCATGTTCAAGTTCATCTACTTGTATGAATCACTAAACCATGCCCTCAAAAATTTCCTCATGCCTGGCAAAAACATCTCATAGATACACCTGTATCCTTTTGTAAACCTGGCCAAATCTTTAATGGGTGCACCCATCAACATTAATAGTCAACAGCCATGGCTTAAATACAGGCGATTCTTGCATGAATATAAAAATAAATAGACACAAATAAGAATAAAGAAGTTAAACAGCCACAGTTTGTAAAGTGCTGTTCACTAGTAAATGTCAAGAAAATTGTGAAAAAAAAACTTCCAAACAACGACCATTCGAGTCCACTGTAAGGAGAAAAATCAAAAGCTTCAAAGAGCTACAGTAAGGCACACAGAAAAGATAGAATAACCTCTTAGAACATTTCTTTGTCAACAGTGACAAAAGAAATAACTGAAACTGAAAAATTAGAGGAAGGTAGAAAAACAAAACTGAGTTGCAAACCTGTATTTCTCATTTTTACACTGCTTGTAATGTTCCACCACAGACCATGCATCCCCAGTATTTCACTACTCTCTGCTCAAGTATTATTGAACAAATTAGAATAGTACATACTATTTTCATATAAATGTATAAAGAGTAACATCATGTGCTCAGTACGCTAGGACTCCAAACAATTACAGAACATCATTGCAACATTTGTCAGCATATTTAAAAAGAGAATGACAGGCGATGGCCAGCATAAACAGCAAAAGTTTATGCCCCCAGTGTTTTCCACATGATTCAACCTAAGGTGCCCATGCACATAATTATAATCTCCTGCTTTGTAAGACTAATAGGTTAAAGAATAGTATTTCTTTCAATGGCTTCATGTCAACAGTCTGAAAAAGTCGTAGATTTTTTCTTTGATCATAAGACATTTGTATTATTGCAGTTTAAATGATACCTCTTTAACTAGAATCTTATTTTTTAATGTACATATTTGCCTTCATGACTGTACATATTTTTAGATCTTAATACTTTTTAAATTTCATATGTAATTCACATTTCAGCTAAGTACTGCTGTAACATATTTCTTAATAAAGTATGAAGTTGAGAGTCTCAGAGAAAAAAGTACTGAGTCCAATGGTAAGCAATGTCTTATTGTAAAGTCCAAGAAAGCAATGTAATGAAATTAAATAAATGCATCTTTTACTCAATCAGTTTCTGCTGCAATTATTTTATTTGAAAAGGAATGGGCGATCTGCTTCCAATCAATTTTTTGTCAGTTGATGTAGCACTGTCATGCTATTAAATTGGAGGCATAAATTGAAAACCGGGTTCTCAGAACAGGCGCCACCTCTCCTTTTCTCCCAGTCATTTTGCTTCCTGTGTCCTACGTACTTGACGCACAAAAGTCCCCTAATTCACGGTATGCATCCCATGGGAGACAAACATCGATCGATCTGAACATGTTTTTTGTAGAAATATCCTGTTCACTTAATTTTTGTGGCAGCTATTAGGGCTGTTGTTTAAAGATGCAAACTTCTTTTAGCCTTTGTTGCACTTTAAAATAGAAGGACTATATTTTAATTTTCATATAGTGTAATAGTTCAGATTAACTGTCTGGTTACAAAAAGGCTCAAGCTTTTTTAACTTCGGACCAGGGCTCAAAGTTAACAACTAACTGGTCACCTATGCGACCAGATTTTTGGTTAAGCACTAGAAAATCATGTGTAATTGCTGTTAAGCTAATTCAAAAGTTATCACCAAGGGAGGAACTACGTGCTCCAGTCCAAAGACTCACATCAATAGAAAAACGAAAGGGAGTTTAAAATTCATTGTTTTAAGAGCAATCTGACTGAGTCACATTGCAATTCTCCTCAGCTGACGTGGCTTCTGTTTCAGCTGCAACCCATCTCTTCGAGATTTGGATCTGTAAATCACCATCTGTGAGAATTTGACATCCTGCTAAAAATGTAAGTGAGCTCGACAAAGAAGGCAAAAGATATCTGATAGTGAAAACTCTCACAAAGTCTTGGAGGAAAAGTGTGATAATAACCCTAATACTGAGAATATTGAACAACTTGAAATTTTGAAATTGGAACATGAAAATATTTATGAGGCATTTTCACAGGGAGCAATCATTCGCTTGAAGGCAACTTGGTATGAGAAGGGAGAGAAAAGTAACAAATATTTCCTCAATCTAGAATCTCATCAGAAGGCTAAGAGTTCAGTTCATAAGGTTTTTAGCAAAGAAGAATTGTTAGTCACTGACCCTAAAAAGATTTTGGGGGTTATTGAAGGCTTTTATTCTGGTCTGTATAAGAAGGACGATCTAGAACCTTCTGAAAATCTGATTTTTTGGAAAATCCGCTCATGCCTTGTCTCTCTGTTGACGATTCTCAAGTGTGTGAAGGGAAGTTAACAACTGAAGAATGAGTGAAGAGCCTCAATTCTTTTGTACCCAATAAATCTCCAGGCAACGACGGGTTAACAGGTGAATTTTACAAATTTTTTGGGAACATAGTTGGGGAATTACTGGTAGCCAGCCTCAACTATTCTTATGACGTCGCAGAATCATCAAACTCACAAAGGAAAGCAATTATAATATTATTGGGAAAAAAAAGATAAGGATAAAAGACACATATCTAACTGGAGACCAATATCTCTGATCAATGTCGCTGTTAAAATAGGATCAAAGGCGATCGCTAAAAGACTGGAATATGTCCTGCCCAGTATTATACATTTTAACCAATGTGCATATGTTAAAGGCAGGACTATTTTTGATGCAGTTAGAACAGTAGAAGACATCTTAAAGTACACTGAGAGATTTAAAATCAGTGGAAGATTGATAGCTATAGATTTCAAAAAGGCTTTTGATTCTGAAAGTAGAGAATTTCTTTTTCGAACCCTATCTGCTGCTCATTTTGGCCCTTCTTTTATCCAATGGATTCACACTTTTTATAATAATATTTCTAGCTGTGTTTCAAACAATGGTTTTGCTACGACACATTTTGACATTCAGCGTGGCGTTAGGCAGGGGGATCCTCTTTCTCTGTACCTGTTTATTATCGTGTTCGAAACTTTGGCTTTAACGATAAGGTCAGACAATGATATTCGAGGTATCATGGTGGATGGTCAGCAGATCAAATTAGGGCTATTTGCTGATGATTTAACAGGGTTTTTGAAGAACAACAAATCTCT